GATCCGACAGCAGCGCCAAGCATTTCAAAAAGGTGAAAAATATGCGCCAAAAAACCCCGCTCATAAATACCTCCGCTCCGTGCCGCGCGAGCCAAGCAGACGGAAGCGTGACATCGGTGTAGCAAAATATTCTGGGAAACAATTAATGCGGGAGCAGGATCAAGAAAAATACGTTCGCCTAAGTCATTCAAGCGGCGTCCCAGCTGGCAGCCCGGCTTCCCGGCCGATGGCACTTGTCCACCAGGCTGTCAGAGCCGCTCCCAGCTCACCTGAACGGGTGCCAGCAGCCGGCGGGGGATGCGGGGGGGACGCGCGAGCTCTGCTAGAGCCATCGCGGGGCCGCCGGGCTCTTTTTCAGATGAGTGACGAGTGGTGGAAGGAGAGGCAAAACTAACAGGAGAGCAGAGAGGGAGGGGTTCAAGAGTTCAGGATCCTTCATCTATCTTTGGAGAAGGGGCACCGATAACCTCTCCTGTTCAAAACGGTCACCCCGCCAACCTGGAGAAACCGAGCGCGGCCCGGAATCGCCCACCCCGTGATTTCAAGGCTGTTTTGAGCAGTTGATGGAAGGCGCAGAAGTGCAAAGAAAAGCTTTCAGCATCACCAGCGTGGACGAGAAGGGCGCTCCATGCTCTCTGGCATCATGTGGAGAATTGCAAGAAAGCCAAGATCACCTCTGCCACTCTGCCCCTGCCTCCCTCCGGCTTCATTGTTAATATTTGAGATTTCTATGAAATTATTCATTGAGCTGCTTGGGGATTTCGCCTTCCAAGAGAAGCTGTAATAGGATTAGGCAGCCGCATTGCTCACGCCGAATTATTTGCCTGGCTCTTGGAAGGAAAACAGCCATGTTTATTCTGCTTCCTTTGCTTTCGGCGGACTTTGCAAACAGTGACAAGGCTCGCGCTGGCTTTTTGCTGGGAAGGGGGAAAGCAGGCATCACTGGCACGATTCGGAGAAGGGTTTCACCTCCTCTGAAACAAGTCGAAACCAACGCCTTTCGGCCTCTGCCCCCCCACCGGCTCCTCTGTGCCACGGCCGTCGAAGGCAAGCACAGACCGAGCAGCGGCTCCCTCGGGAGCGCGCAGGCGGCTCAACCCGCGCGCGCTTCCAGGGCCGACAAGACGCTACATGCAGCGAGGACGAGGTGTTCCGTGAATCACTTGCAAAGAGGGGGATTTTTAATACTAAAAAAAAAAATTTTTTTTTTTACATCCCTCTGCAACACCTACAAAACAAACAAACAGACCAAAGGATTTGGCTCGCTGCAGGTTCAAGTTCTGCATGGACTTGGCTCGCCGTGTAAGCACACGCCACTGCGCTCATATAAAACATTGCCTAAGTGGTGAGAACCCCTCGTTTAGTGCCTCGCTGCAATAAATTAGCAGGTGTCTTTATGAAGCGCCGTCTCCCCAAAGTTAATGCAGCCAATGGGTCTCACTTGCGGTCCTTCCCAAGGAGTTGTGGTTAAAACCAATAAAAGACCAAAATGGAAACATGGGCATTTTGCTAAGCTAAAGTAAAATACGCCCCAGTCACCAGCACATTTTCCTAGCATATATAAAGGAACAGGGCCTGAAAGTGGAAGACAAAAGTCACGAAATAAGCTTTAGTATGGGCCAACCTTATCAGATGTGGTAGAAAACCGCTTGAAGAAACAGCACTGGCGAAGGTGAAATAAAGACCAACTTGTGCACCCTTCCATCCCAAGCGACATTCATGGCACCAAACCCACTGAGGAAGGCATAAAACCATCCCTGAAAACTCCCCAAGCTTCTTTCTCAGCCAGTCAACATCGTTAAAGCGGGCCACATCTGCCTCCAGCTCCTTGGGTTGAGGGCAGGGAGGAATGAGTGGGAATTATCTCACTTAGCGTGGAGATAAAGAGGCAGCCGGGCCGCGCGAAGCCACCGCCAGGCGCTTCCCCCGCGGGGCCGCGCGGAGCAGCCCATGCCGCCTTTTAAACCTTTCCAAGTTCCAGCCAGCCCCGCAGATTTACGACGTGTTTCACTTTTTGAACACCCTTGGATCGCACTGGGGCGATGAAAGCCCTCTCGGTTTGCAGATAGCTCTTTTTTTTTTTTTTTTTTTGGTGTGTGGACAAAACCTATAAGAGATGCTGCCCCCCTCCTGCATCCACATCCACGCGTGCGCTCCCCCTCCCACCCCCTCGCTCAAATGCATCTCCTCTACAAGCTTTGGCCAAGCCCATCCATGCCAAGAACCTTCCCACACTCCTCTACAGCCTCCAGCTTTACTTAAAACGAATTCAGAAACACAGTACCAGGGACCACAGCCTTTTTTTTTTTCGGTCTTAATAAGACCGCAAGGAATGGGGGGGGGGGGGGGGGGGGGAATAAAAAGTTAAAAAAAAAAGAGAAATTGCAGCAGTTCTTGTAACTAAATCTGTTGGAGTTGTAAGTGTGGTAAATGTGTGTTCCTGCACTCTCTGGACGCCTCTGCTTTGCCTTTAGCAGCTGCTGTAATAAACTTCCCAGAAAGTATTGGATTCACAGAAGTGTTACTAGAAACCCTAGCAGCAACCTAATGGAAAAGATACATCAACGCAGCAAACCAGGGAGATAAGCCCTGCTACAATAAAGAGAGATTTAAACCCGGTTTCCTTGGCTTGAGAGGAAAAATAAAAATTGCCCTCTGCATTTTGAGGGGGGAGGAAGGGGAAGGGGGGGGGGGGGTGAGATCTAATTACAAGTGTCTTGAAATTCCTTCTACATAAAGTTTCCTTAAAGAGCTGCCAAAAAAGCAAACTCTTGGAAATTGCGTTTTAGGTGCCGTTTTCAGCTGAAGTGCATGCGGCTTTGCCCTGCGATGACAAAACATTTAATTACAACGATCCCAATGTCTTCCACATTTGGAAACTGGATTCTTGACACACATAATATACCCCATGCTGACATGACTATTTGGCAAAAGCCGAGCCTGTGATCTCACATTAATTGCTACACAAATATACTTATTGTGGGCATGGGTTTTATACGGCTGAAGCCTCCATTTGCACATGTTCACAATAAAAACACTTCCCCCCCCCCAACAGTAATGATTAACTTTTCTTGGGGAAGTTTTTTCCTTTTTTTTTTTCTCCTGAGATGCAGCTTTAATGGCATGAGAACTGTCTGTCGGCTTCCATTACCCCTTTGTTCTCTTCGTCTCTCACTTTATATGTATTTTTATAAGCCTTTTAAAACCAAGTCTCCCAGTTCTTAATTCTTCCCTCTCTTTACTTTTGTTTTTATTGTAGGGCATCAATAGAAACAGAAAGATTTCGCCGGATTAAAGACACTGCTGTCACTTGAAAGCCATTCCCCTGATAGAGATCTTATAGGATCTCACTATTTCTTCCATCTAAGGCCTTTTGCACGGAGCCGGGGGGACGGGGACACGTTTCCCTTCAGCTCAGCGGCGCTGGAGGTAAGAGATACCCATCAGCAGGCGCGAGCACGGCACCCAGCCCTCGGCGGCAGCGGCGGAGCCGAGCACAAGGCACGCAAGCGCCAGGGTGTCCGCAGCGATGGCTCCTCCGAGACATCACACGCCTGCGAGGTCACGGCTGCTCTGATCCCACGCGCAGGAACATGCAGCAAACAGATGCCGGGGGCCGGCGCTGGGAGAGATGCGAGCATGGTGCAGGATCCGGCCACTTGAGCAGATGCTGGGCGATGTGGTGCTGGGGCTGCGGGCTTGTTTCCATGAGCAGAGGGGCTGGGGAAGCTCGGGGGTATGCTTGTGGTCATGCTGCCCGCATGTATGTGCACGAGCAGCCCCGTCCCATGGGTCAGTGAGCATCCCGAAGCGCATGTTCAGAGGCGTCAGTGCGGTCCCACGTTTGGCACCTCAGCATGGAACGACCTGGGATCTCCACCTGGGTGCTCTGATCCAGTAGGAGAACCTACAGAGGGAACCCGGCTCTACCCTGGGCCAGCAACCTCACCAAAATGGTACCAAAGCATCAACATTTAATGCCCCCCCCCGAACATGGCAGCCACGCGGTGAGCTACCACCCCTGGCTCTGTTGCTGCTTCACGTGGGGACCTTGAGCCTCCTACCAAGTACCTGAGAGCCTTTCTAGACACAGAGGCAAGCCAACAGGTGAACAAAACCATAAATCCCTGTGAGACTGGGGAAAATCCCGATGTGCAGCAGGCTTGGAGAGCCAAAGCTTTTTTAGGCTTGGACCTATGATTTCTATCAGGGCAGGAGTGCTGGGACACTGCCTTGGGAGCCCTGGCAGGTGGAGAAGCGATGCCCCTGCTTCCCCCAAACCTCTGCTGCCATGGGAGTAATCTCATTTTATTTTATTTTATGCCTTCCTGGTACAAAGAAAAGGTTTCGTCAGATCAGGGAACCCAAAACATGCACAAATCACTCTCTTCTGGTAAGGCAGCAAAGCATGCCCAGCCTCGCTCGTGTTTGCGTGGCTACGCCGTGCACGCCGGCCACAGCCTCCCTCTCTGCCTGCACTGCAACAGTTCTTTCCCTGCTTGTATACTGTCCATCAGCTCTTTCAAACAATGACCAATTTGTTCCCTGGGGTGGCGTTTCCTTGTGATTCATGCAGCGGGCGGGCGGGCGGGGATGCTCGCAGCAGGATCTGCTCACGTGCCAGCCTCCGTGCTGCAGCAAGAGCCACCACGGCCACCAGGTTTTTCTCTCCCAAGCCGCACTGAATGCGATACCCAGCCCTGTGTGGGTGCCGGGACCGCCTGCTCCACAAATTGGAGCTGTTTGTTTTTTTTTTTTCGGTGGAGAACCCGACGTTGCAAAACACAGATTTTGTTTGGGAGCGGAGGGGAGAGTCCCCACTGCAACGGCCTCTCGGAATGGGAATTGCGTAAAGCTGCTATTGGAAAGAAAGAGGAGAAAAAAAAAAAAAAGGTCGTTTCATTTCAACAAGGCAAAAGTGTCTCCCTTGAACAACAGGATGTCTTCTGTAAACACGAGGCGACCGCAGCTGTCAGAGATAGAAGTGCTGCGTTAAAACGTTTCATTTTGTCACGGCTGAAATGGAGTGAGAAAGCTGGAGCGGCCGGTTGGGCCCTTCCTCCGCCCCACGCTGCCAAAATCCCACCTAGAAGGGCGAAGCCTTTTTACTTTAATGGAAGTTCATTCTCCAAAGGGCAAGTATTCCTCTAAAAAGGTTGCAGGCACTTCCCCCCCACGCACATACACGGTGCTGCCAAGTCATAATTTTAACAGCAAATCTTTTTATTTGCCTTTTTTTTTTTTTTTTGTCTTAAATCACAAGCACTTGGGATTTATGCTGTGTATGGGAAGCAGCTTTCATGACGGGAGCGAGTTTTCACACGCGATGTTTGTGTGCTATGAGCTTCTCCCCACGAAGAAGCAGCCCGGCCACCAGCACGCAGGCAGGGTGAGCAACGTGAAATATTTTTTGGCCACTCCGATTATTTGGGATTTCATCACCTTTGGCTGGTGTTGGTAGCACGACATGCTTCGAGCGACCGGCGCAGCTCCGACAGCATCTGCAGCCTGGAACCTCACACTTCATCTGCAGCATCCACAGCCCACGAGCACAGGAATATGCTGGGATTTAGATCAAGGAATTATCTTTTGGTGATGGCTTTTTTTAGCCACGTTTATCTACACGAGGCAGACCGAAAACAGCCTCACGGGCTGGAGGTTCACGCGAGGGCATGCGCATTCGCAATTTGACCATACGGTTTTGGGGTTGCAAAGCCAGACGTGAAGCTGGCTGAAAGTCCAGCCCTGCGAAGCATTTGGAGCTGGCAAAGTTGTGCTACTGATTTATGTGGCGCAACAGCCCCGGCCCTGGGATGCGTCCATAACATTCGTTCCATCTGTCGTCAGCGCGGATTCTGCTCTGCACCACTCGCCTTGGCAGGGCTCGGTCCCAGCTCTGCTCAGCACGGGGGGCGAGGGGGGCACCTCCCTTTGGTGCTAACGGCTTCGCAGGAGGCCTCGAGTTCTTGAGATGCCTCCGAGCATTGTCACCGGCGTGATAATCTTTGGCAGCCTGTGTAGGAACGGAAGGGAAAGAGCCACCGTGCTCATTTTCTGTATGGTTTTCAGGATCGACGCTCACCGACAGCCTCATTTCATGCCCTCTCTCCCCACACATGCACTAAATAAAGGAGAAAGGTCCCTAAAACCACGCAGTCCTCTCGCTCTCCTATCATTCGTGCTTCTTCAAGGCAAATCTCTACGATCAATCTGCACCGACTCCTTTCCAAGCAGCTAAGAGCCCGGTAATTTGCGTTATCTTCCGAGGCGATGAGCACTTCAGTCCGAGAAGCAAAGGGCCTGTTTATCTTGGGCAGGACAGAGACATCCAAATCTGCTCTGGGGATCTCTTGGCACGTCCGGGACTCGCTGGAGTTGATGGTGGTGGAAACTCCACACGCGAAAAGCCAGCGCTGAGCCCCGCGCTGGGATTCACCCCGAGCCTTACGAGGCCTCTTCTGCAGATGAAGACAGCTGGAGCAGGAGCTCGGCTGCCAGCCAAGCTGCTCCTCCTCCCCAGAGCTCCCCAATGTTTTGGGAAGGCTGTGGACGGTTCCCCCGTGCCCGAGTGCAGCGCTCGGGGTGGGGCAGCCTCCCCTGGCGAGGTGCTGATGCTGCGATTCACCTCTGAACGTTGCCTTATGGCTCCTCGCCGTTCCAACGCCTCCTACATCTACAAAAAGCTGGAATTTCCTGCCAGCTCAGTGGTGCAATTTCAAATGCTTTTTGGTTTGAGACGGCGCTCTTTAATCTCCAGCCAGCTGGGCCCGTGCGTTAGCGTGAAGGCTGAAAGCTTCAGAGCTTTGGGCAGTTAGTTTTCCAAAGATCTCACCTGTGGGTGGAATGGTTTGCTGCAGCTCTGCATTAAATTAAAAAGGAACCCGCGTGTGTGTGCACACACTCACAAAACCACGTGCCTGAGCTGCCCTGTCCCCGCTGCAGTGTGAAGGGAAGCAGCAGGCCAGCTCTGGGATCTGACTGCTGCCACGGATGGAGAAATGGAGATGGAGAGCGCTGTGCCAAGAAGGGCAAGGGGCAAGCTGCAGGCACGGTGCCACAAAACCCCCCTGCCCTTCGAGCAAGGAAGGATGGAGCTCAAATCTCACTGACTTAACCTGCCTCGTGCAGGCATCTGGAGGATACCCTAAAAGACAACATCTACCACCTTGGCGTTCCTCCCATTAGACAAGTGGGCTTTATTCCCCACCGCCCCATGAGATCTGGGCAAGAAGCGGCCCATCAGGCTCCACCGTGCTGCTCGCAGCCCTTGGCATCACGGGCAGCTTGCAAAGAGGAGGCCAGGGCCCTGTGCTCCTGTGCAAGTCATTTCACAGCCCCAGAAACTGGGACCAGATCCTCAGCTGATGCAAGGAAACATCACTTCCACAATGTCAATAAACTGGGGCTGGTTCACATCAACTGAGCATCTGCTCAGGAAGCAACGACAACTAAAACCAGCACGTGCACCTGCTGGAGCCACAGTATCAGTATTTGAGAATTGATCTTACGCAGATAAGCCAAAAAGGTGTGGGGCAGAGAACAGAGGGAGGCATGATGAAGTCCTGTTATCCTGCTCACTCCACTGTTTAAGCAAAAAATCTGTTTACACAAAGAGATCTGACAAGAATCACAGCAAATTGGACAAGGAGCTGAATACGTAAAAGGCAAAACCATCACTGAAAATAAATTCAATTACCCGGTTTTGCTTAGAGAAGCAACAAAGTTTTTGACGTGTTTGTTATTCGCTCTGTCATTAGAGCTGAAAGATGTCTCAATAATGTTGAAGTTACATTTTTAACATCCACTCTCCTCCGAGCAGTTTGCATATTTTCCACTACGTTAGCTGATCAAGCCATTAGTTACAGTTACTTAAAAATAAATGAGCTCTATATATTCCTTCCTCTACACTCCCCACTGTGTAGCTAAACAGCGGAGGGGGGGGGCAGGGAAGAAAAGTATTCAGTTTGCAAGGAAACAACCCAAAAATAATGGCTAAATGCTTAAGTTCGACCGTGGAAAGCGGGTACATCTGAGGAGAAAAAGCAGAAGCTTCTCTCATCAGGCAGGGAACTGATAAGGTCCTAAACAGCGGCAAAACATGGAAAATGAAAAACATATTGGTAAAAGAAAATGCAGTTGGGAGGTTTACGGCATCTGAATAAATCCAGCAAGAACAGAGGCAGAGAGGAATTTTGTCGAGTGTGTTGATACGCATTTACTTGCCAAAATGAGTTTTAACTAGAGCTATTCTTTTTGCTCTTTACCCTAATCCTCCCTCCTCCCCATAAAAAAATACCATCAAGTCAGTCAATTTTCATGAAAAGATTTCTGCTTTCACCCATTAAAGAAGCAGGTAATATTCATTCTTCTATTCCCTCTCTCCCAAAATTCAGCCATAAAAGAAAACCCAAAGCAAGCCTGACGGTTTATGTTTTGACTGTTGGAAAACAGAATCTGAAAGCAATTTCACTTCGTTAATTAAGCTTACAAAACCTGCAGAAGATGAAGATATTTCCTTCCACGCAGAGAACGAAGGCAGCACATTTTCCCAACTATCTGTGAACTGCTGAAAAGCACTGAAGAGCTTTCGGGGTAGAGAAAAAACCCGAGCATGCCAGGAAAAAAAAAGCACATTGTACTAATAGGTCATTGGGCAATTCTAACTCAATCCAGATTTGTTTGTGGGATCCAAACTCATCCAATATATTGACCACTGAGTCACAAGAGCAGCCTTCACAGCCAGCACAGAGCAAGTCTCCAACTGCTGCCCTTGGTGCATGGCAATGACCCACTGAGAGGCAGTCAGCAGCGGTGTGCTGCTCTCAGCAGTAGCTTTATCAGAGACATAAAGGAAAAAAAATCCTGCTGCAGTATGTAACCTTAATATTGGCCTCCCACGGTCCTGGTGTTTTAACAATCTATAGCTTTAGGTGATAGAGTAAAGCTCCAGATCCCACAGGGAAGAGTCTCACCTCTCTTCTGGTGATGCTCTCAGCTCTACTACGGTTCACTCAGGTCATTCTCTTGTCCTATCATTACCTGGGCTCCCCAAAATTCACAATCAGCACTGAACCCCAAGCTCCTCTGTCTACCAGTCACTTCCCCACCAGCCTCAACAAACAATTGCTTATGTGAAGAAACGGTACTGAGTGAAAAATCCAACCGCAGCTGCCAAAAGCCCCGCAGCCCCACCGCAGTCCAGATTAGGGCTCGGAGGTCTCAGTGTGATGGGCTTCTCCCCGGCTCTGGAGCACGTGCTGCTGCCACGTGCTGCCCAGCTGGGGCCTTCCAGCTTGTTCTTTGCCAGCAAAGGTGATGTGATGTCCACTGTAAGAGGCTGGAGGACTGGATCCTAACAGTGCTACGCTGCAAACCCTTTCTAAGATGTCTGAAGGTGCTTACGGACCTTGGAGAAGCCCTTACTTGTAGGGGGAGCTCTTGGCCTTTTTGAAAGTATCCCCCCCTGCAAGTTCTTCTACTGGAGTGCATTGTGCCTTGGACATTTGGCTTTCCGAGCGAAAAACGTCCAGGTTTCTTCAGACCCTGCAACCCAGTGAGACGGGGAGGTCTGACAACATCCGCACATCACACGCTCGCCTCCATCCCAGCACAGCCAGACTCAGTCACCGAGCTTCCAGGGTGCCACGGCCACCTGTGGAAATCCGGGGCAGCCCAAAATGCCGTGCTGGGTCCTGACCGGGTGCCCCAATTCCAAAGGGACATTTTGGGGGGTCAGCCTGGCTTAGGTAGTGCACACGGATCCCACGCATGCGTCCTTCGCCTTAACCGCGCCCTCGATGCTGGGGTGTGAGAATGCTCAATCCCCTCCAGCTACAGGGGAATTCCCAAGCAGATGGTTAAACTGGATTTCCAGCTTCGCCGCAGCAGCGGCAGAATGGGGGGAACTCAGCAGGGTGGAGGAGCTGGCTCAGGGTGCCCGGTGCTGTGAGCAAGCCACAGGTCTGCCGGCCACTGGGGTTTCAAAGAGCCCATCCTGGGGCATCTGCAGGGCACCTCGAGACCTTCCTGCAAGCCTATGAGCTAGGCAGAAACGTCATAGAAATAACGAAACGCGTTATGGAAATGAAGGGTGTTTGGGGCTCACTTTTAGGAGCTGGAGATCTGAATTTCCCTCTGATCCCTGGGGAATCAGGCACCTAATTCTCTATGTCTGGCTGCCACTGCTGCGCTCCTGGAGCTTCTCCTTCTACCAGGCAGGAGCAGCAGGCAGCGAGCCGAATGCTGGCGGCTTAAAACAAAGGCCTGCAAGCCAATAAAGTTCAACAAAATCAAGTCCCTCGTTTCTTGCTGTCACTCACGGGCCACTGCAGTGTTGACTCTGAAGGGTGGGAGAAAGGAAGAGGGATGGAAAGGAGGTGAATAGGGAGAATCAGGCACCGGGGAGAGACGGCAGCAGCGAGCGCAGCCCAGCCCTGGCTGATGGGTGCAAAAGGTCGGGGATTTGGGAGTGTTTCCTGCACCAACGGTGCCAGCCAGGGAAAAAAGGATCCGGGACCTCCTGTCTGCCTGCCCCAGCCCTGTGAATCTGCTCCTCACATGCAGGTCTCCAGCAGCTGCTCCTTCCCGAGGTGGGAGGAAGGGGGAGAAAAGAAAATGGACACAGCTAAAGGCACCCAAACCAAAACCGTGCCATCAACACGGCTCTGCTTCAGCTCAAGCTTTTCTGCCAGAGTGCAGGAGCCCAGTTATGAGTGCTTTTCTCCCCGGGGTGGCTGCGTTTTCACAGCTTCATGGGCTTTGTGTAGCAGGACCCTGGGGTGGAGAACGAGGAGAACAGTCCTGGTGCTGTCACCAGCCTCGGTATGCAGGCCTGGGCCCAGCTCCTCCTCTCCCCCTGCACCTTCAAATCCATAACGTGAGACTGGATTTGTCCCTAGGGGGAGAGGGGGAAGCACTTCTGGGCACCTCAGTCTTCGTTCCAGCAGCAGCTCCCTTCCCATGGCCCTGTTCCTACACCTCGAGGCGACGATCCCAGGTAGCTTCTCAGGAGCACCCATCGCTGGAGCCAGCCACACTTTTCCAACTCTCCGCTACTTTTTTTTTGTAGGGACATCTGGAAAGACTATGGAAATATGTTCTCTTGAGCCCCCAGGGCTTTCTGCCTCTATTCTCAGCCCTAAATCCTGGCTCGGAAAGCTTTTCTCACAATATTTTCCATGTTCAGTGTGTAGAAGGGTATAAATATGTAGCACAGAGAGCAGCGATGTCTACAAGAATCCTCAAGGCTGTTTGGTTGGACAGCCGGGAGGCTTCCCACCTCCCCCAGGTCTGATTTGCCCAGGCCAGCCGACAGCAAACACCTCGACAAACCTCACAGCCCACGCCACGTTAAGATATTTACATCTGCTGAGAACAGCCCCCCCAGCTCACTGGGGGTGTCTGCATCTCAGGAGGATCAAACATCTGATTTACTCCTGTGCCGAACCCATGAGCGAGGAGAGATCTCGATCCGCCACCATACCTCGAGCCTAAATCCTCAGCTGGAGTCACTGCCCGATATTGGTTCCTATCAGCAGAGCTTTGCAGCTTTGGTCTAAGCTGAGAATCTGGCCACTTCTGACTTAACTAGCTTTCTGAAATGCATCCAACAGGAAATCCTAAATCAAAAACACTCTGCATTTTGAGAAGATTCCTCTCCCTCGGATCCAAACCCAACTAAAAGTTTTGCAACTTTTTCCATTTTAGGAATGAGAGGCTTTCTTCTCATATCTTCCTCTCCTCCCAAACAAATAATCAAGTACACAGGAGCCCAAAATATTTTTCCCCTCTGTTCCCTTTATCCAGCAAGCTGACAGCGAAGCCAACGTGTTC